TGTAGCTGGCAGCGCGGCATACGTGCTCTGAGAGCTTCTGTGCCTTCGGTCGCCGCCGACATAGCTTGTTTCCTCTAGATTTGTCTGCGCCACTTGCCCGCTACACTCTTGGCCGTCGTACGCCGCCATCATGGTGAAGCTCGCAAAGGTAAGAAGGTTTGGCGCGCAAGCACGGAGACCTAGGCCTGTGTTCCGAGGGGCGCGCGCGCGGCGCCGCGGGGAGGAGGGCCTGCGCGCAGTCCCAGGCGCGTTCGAGGACGCCATGCTGCAGGGAAGTCTCGCGCGATTAGCAGGGAGGTCTCGCGGCCTTTGGCTATTCAGTGTGGAGGTGAAGAGCTGTGGCAGGTGTGGGAAGTGGTGAAAGCGGCCGAGACAGACTTAGGAGCTGAGTGTGAGGAGGGGGCGCGGGGCCTCGGGGCCTCGGAGGGAGAGGCCAAACTCCTGCGAGCAGCGTGAGCAGGGCCCCGCCTCCTGACGCAAGTGTCCCAGAGCACGGCCCGCCACGTGGGCCGCGCCGCGTGGGTTCCGGACTCTCGGGAGATACCGATGTCCTAGGATGGGAAAGGATGGGATGGGGTCTAGTTAGAGGGTCAGTGTTTTTCGGGACCTTTCCTTTCGGGCCAGGCCAGCGGACACGTGGTGGGCCCCGGAAGGAGGTTTTGCCGCGTGGTTTTGCACCAGACTGTGCACATGGTGGCCTACCGTGTGCCCCCACGTGGCACCGCCGGCTCTAGAAGGGGCGGGGTTGTCTCTCTGGGAAAGGAAAACTGCGGAAGACGAGAGACAGTTTTTTAAAAGGCGACTTATTTTTAAGAAAATGTCTTAAAGATCTTAGCTCTTAATTTGGATTCATACGGGGGCGGTAAAATAAGGTGCCAGAATTTATCGACGGTCTGTGAATAGTTGGCTGGAAAGTAGTCTAGTTGCTGGCCACTGGATGTTATTAATTATGCGTGATGTCTTAACTAAAGCATTAGGGGGAGAGAAATCATTTCAGGTTGTCTTAAGGTAAAACTTGACAGCAGAAATGTGTGGAAAGTTAAGACTCCCTTGTGTGTCAAGAATAGTCTTTATTTTGCTATTTAGTATTAACGAGAAATGGATTCTGAGAAAGATTATGATTGTAAGAATAATGGCAAAGTAAGTATAGCCTGAAATGTTGATGAGAGTGTAATGTGGTTCTTCTGTCCATTTTAGGCAGGTAAAAATCAAGGTGACCCCAAGAAAATGGCTCCTCCCCCGAAGGAGGTAGAAGAAGATAGTGAAGATGAGGAAATGTCAGAAGATGAGGATGATGACAGCAGTGAGGAAGAGGTAATTATATCCATTTAGCAGAGTTGTGTTAAAAGTACAAAATGAAGAGTTAAAACACTATCCATCCATGCATCACAAGCTCTTTATTGGCATGTCAGGATATCACTTGGGTAAGTATTTGAATAAGTTTGAGACACGTAAGGACTGGGATTCTCCTTTTCACATGCCCTTTGCAGGGCTTGATATGTGTTATTACATTTTCCTTTTCCAACATAATGGTAGCCCATATGCTATAGAGGGAAGGATACATTTTATAAGTGGCAGGACTGAATGTTACATTCAGATCTGAGGATAACTACTAGATTACTTTCCCAGCCTCCAATCAAGATTAATTGGTTTCTGTTCCAGTAGATGAGGTCTTTACAATTAAGTTTGTGAAGTAATCTTAGAAAAAGTGCTACGGGGCAGCTCCTGTGGCTCAGAGGAGTAGGCACTGGCCCCATATGCCAGAGGTGTTGAGTTCAAACCTGGCCCTGGCCAAAAAGAAAAAAAAAGAAAAAGTGCTACATACCTCGTTGCTGAGTATCATTCTGCTCAACTTTGAAGTGCTTCACATGGGTGACTGCCTTGCTGCAGCACCTAGTTCACTTTTCAAAGCAATTTTGGAAGTCTTTGACCATTAATTAAGAGTTGTGTGGCACACAGAAAACCTGCAGTAACAATAATGAACACTACTCAGCAAGAGACCACCACACATCAATACAAACACAGCTGTGAGGCACTGATATACCAGGTTGTGAAACCTCACCAAGTTACTTCTTTTCTTTTTTTTTTTTT